CACAACATAAATTCTATAGATAGGCTCTCTATTTTTTTCCTCCAGAAGAGAGGGAGGAAAAAAAAAATGCAGGAAAACTAACCTGCTTTATCAGAACTTTCATTTAAAGGCATGAAAAACTACAAGTGACAGCTGTGCAGATTCAGTGAATGTGACATTTCTGAATTTCTTCAACTTGACAAGTAAACACCTTAAATCGGTAATGCTATATGCATAATACATGACCTGTATTTTGACATCCATCATCAAATGCTGACTTGAGAAAATACAGGTTTGTACGTCAAGGAATAGCACCCATAAAGCAGGGAGAAATTCAGGTCACAGGGTATTAGGAAAACTCTATTTCATTACAGAAGCTGAAACAAGCTAAGGCATCAGATTTAAGATCCATTTTCAGCTGTGAAAAGATTCAATTCCTCTGCACAGAGCATTCATTTAGAAATGACATGCTTTCCTCGCAGCCTCTTTTCATTTTCCTTTTCATATTCCATTTTCTCCTTCAGTCCCCAAACCTTGTTCCATTAACGCTCATAAAAATCGTAAAACAGGGCTGATAGTTGTGATCATCTTATAAGCACAGTGTCTCCTTGTTCAACAAACAACCGAGGGAGCTGTGGCTACAATTGCTTAACAGGATCAACCTCTAGAGTAAAATTCACATAGCCCGTGCAAGCCGGAGCACTGTCCCTGTGTAAGGAAATACAGGGACAGCGGGGGGCTTGTGGAGAAGGGAATTCTCTTTGCCAACAATTAGGAGGTCGGGTGCAGCACAATCACATCAGTTCCTGCAGCCACTGCATACCACACTACATTGCTGTACTGGCTGAGTGATTGCCTTTCCATCACTTAGTTTTTGGTTTTTCATGGTTTGTTTTGTTGTTTTTTAACTCTTCACTTATTAAACTGTCTTTACCTCAGCCCATGAGGGTTTTTTCCTCACTTTCATCCTTCTGCTCCTCTCCCCCATCCCAGTGGGGGGAAGTGAGCAAGAGACTGGGTAGGGGCTCAGTTGCCAGCCAGGGTCAACCCACCACCATTGCCTCTAGTGATAACCACCACAACATCAAACTGAAGGAAATGGCTTGGACTTCAACAGGAGGTAGCGAGTCCCTGTCCGCCTCTGATACAAGATGCTGTCAAACAGTGTATTAAATATATCACGTCTCTGAGAGGACACAGGCTTTGGTCTCCTGATGTGCTCAAAATGAGTGAGGACTGCCAATTGGGAGTTACTGCTTCTCTCCCGGCAGCAGTGTCCCTCTTTGAGAGGCAGGGACTCCCATGCCCTAACTCAGCTGAAGGAGTTTGAGCCTCCTGCAATTCTCCTTTTTCCAAGAGTTACTGGGGATAGAGGTGCTGCCCAGCTCAGAGCTCAGCAGGGCGGGTTGGCTATGAGCCCTCCTCGTCTCCTACAAAACCTACACAGCGATTAGCAGTTCTGGGCTGCCGAGAGCGCTGTGCCTCCCGAGCCAGGCTGATCCATGGTCCTCTCAGGAACTCCGGGAGGCACTAACTGTGGCTCAGCAGTAACATGCAGGTATTCTGGGAGCCACAGTGGTACTGTAATGAA